GAAAACCGCTTAAATTTTACTAATAGGTTGCCAGATAAATCTTTGTAATCATCAAGTAGAATATTATATTTGTGCATATTCTTAAAATATTTATTATTTACATGTATAACTAGGTATTATTTGTAAAAATACATTTAAATAAAAGAGTATACTATTCTACTATTAATTCAAGGTTGAACCATTGACTTAGTGTTCCAATATCTTCACCAAGTTCCAACTAATTTTAATAAGGCATAATACTTAAAAGAACTTTTGAATTATTGTTTTATTTTAAATCAAATAAATTTTTACAAGTCAGTTTTATGTTATATGTTGTTAACGTGACGTACTAATATGTTACTAGATAATGTATGGTTTGTTCACGTGACATGATAATAATGTTACATGACATTTTCACTCTCAACGATAGTATCACGTGAATATAAAAAAGATAAAAAAATATTTTAACTAATGATAATTAGTTAATTATTAATTATATAAACATATTTGATTAAAAAGAACAAAAGTAGAGGGTTGGAGTTGGTTACAACTTACAAACGAATAGACACCTCTAATAATTTACACATTGATTAAATATCATCAATCATCATTTGACTGAAATGAAGTCAATTGCATATAAATAAATACTAGAGACTCTAATTTTAATATTTTGATCTAAATCTTAAAATGATAGGTAATATTTATGAGTGTGGAGAATTACATCTCTTCGTATAATTCAAAAGCTTGGTGAAAGTCTCCCTATAAAGAAAAAAAAATATTAATCATTGACCAAAAATAAAAAAATCAAGATTTAACATAACAAGTACTCCATTTCAAAAGGTACGATAACAAGATCTATATACAATAACTTTTTTGTGCATCAGTTTATAAATTAGTATAGTTTTATATAAATATAAAATATCTTTTAAAAATATTTAAATAATATAATAATATGCAAATGACTCGAACTTGACTTTAAAAAAGATTAGTTTGAGTTAAACTCAGTTCATAAACACCTCTAATTGTACGTAAACCCTTAAGTACTATGCTCAACATAACCAATAAACATGCAAGCAGATGTCTTAGAATTAAATTTTCTCTTCTTAAATTCAAGAAGCATTACCTTAGCTAGATACCCCACACTTTCAAATATTTTAAATTAGGAGAATAACCTTTCCATAATTCATAAGGTGTCCTACTAGTTTTCTTATAAGGTATTCTATTTTGAATATGACATATAGATAATAAAGCTTCACTGTACAAATTTTCAAGTGCATTAGAACTAACAAGCATAGAGTTGATCATTTCTTTTAATGTTCTATTTTTTCTTTCTGCCACACCATTTGATTTAGGAGAATATGGAGGCGTAATTTCATGAATTATTCCTTTTTTTTTCACAAATATCATTTATAGGTACATAGTCTCCCCCTCTATCTGATCTAACTCTTTTTATCCTTTTATTTAATTGATTTTCTACCTCAACTTTATATTTAATAAATATTTCAAAAGCTTCATCTTTATGCCTAAGTAAATAAACTTTACTAAATCTAGAATATTCGTCAATAAATGTAACATAGTATTGCTTACCACCTCTAGTTATAGTTTATTTTAGATCTCTTAAGTCAGTATGTATTAAACTTAATAATTCTGATTCTCTATTTATTGAAATACAAGTTTCTTAGTTGATTTCGTGTCAACACATATTTCGCACTTATTAGAGCATCCATTTTTAATATTAGAAATTAAATCAAGTGATTGCATTTTCTTATTGTAGGGAATGCTAACATGTCCTAATCTATCATACCATAAATCAATAGAATAAATCATGTAAGTTGAAGAACTAGCATTTGCATTCAAAACATTAGAAATGTTAAGTAGAAAGAGTTCCTGATTGTAATAACCCTTACCCACAAATACATTATTTTTTGTCACAACGATCTTGTCAGATTCGAATGACACTTTCACCCCAACCTTGCCTAATAAGGCCATAGATACTAGGTTTGCCCTTATATTCGAAACATGAAGAACATCATTCAAAGCTAGGGTCTTGCCAAATGTGAGCTTGAAAAGAACTTTTTTTTTATCAAGAATTTGAGCAGTTTGGGAATCACCAAGGTATATTGTCTCTTCTCTTTCCTCTATTGGAGTATAGGAGGTAAAGGCATTTCTGTTTGCACAAATAGACTTGGTAGCACCTTCTGAGTCTACCACCCAGTCCTTCACACTGGCCACCATATTTACTTATGAAATGACTACAGCAATTACATCATCGGACTCATCTGTTTTGACCAAGTTGATTATTGGATTAACAGGTTTGTCATTTCCCTTTGCTTTTTTCCTGCATTGTGCTGCATGATGCCTTGGTTTTCCATAAACAAAGCAACTACCTTTCTTTTTGAAAGTGGGATAAGAAGCTTTAGGTTTATGATCAGGTTTGTAGGGATACCTTTGTTGACGCTAGGTTCTGCCTTGTACTAAGTTGGCTTTTGTTGCAACTTCCTTAGCTTTGGAGGCTTTTATCTCCCTTCGAGTTGTGTCTTCAATGATGATGTAAACAATCAAATCTGCAAGTGACAATTGCTTTTCCTTGTGCTTTAGTTGTTGCTTATATCCATTCCAAGATTCTGGTAGCTTCTCAATCAGTAACCCAGCAATGAACTCTTTTTGCAAGTTATTTTTTTCAGTCTTCAAATCATCCATTAGTTTATGGTATTTATTGATTTGATTATTGATGTCCTTATCATCAGTCATCTTCCAACGATAGAAGTTGCCAATCATGAACTTCTGTTTCCTAACATCTTCAGGAGTGTATTTAGCAATCATTGACTCTTATATTTGCTTTACTTCCTTATAGGGATTGTATACATAGCTCATTAGAAAGTGTGCTAATAATTGTATGGCTGCATACCTTATTTGCATTCATCCATGGTTCCAACATCTTGACATCATCTGGCTTGGAATCAGTTAGCGCAAAAGCCACCCCTTGAACATAAAGGATTGAAAAAGTCCTCTCTTGCCACCTTTTGAAGTTTCTGCCATCAAAAACTTCTATTTTGAAAATATCTGAAAATGGTTTGGCATATGAAGCCGAAGGCATAGGAGGAACGGTCAATGCAGTAGGAGCCATGGTGGAACCATTGACAATGGTGGTGGTAGTAGGGCCAGAGGAAGTAGTAGAAATAGTGGTAGCAGCATTATCAACGTGAGAATCTATTATCTTTAAGATTGTTCAAAAAAGATTATGGAAAATAAGGAATATAAAATAAAATAAGTAAAAATAGTAATAAAAGTCTGAGGTGTAGTATCACTGTCTTTAAAGATAATTTCTATCCCTTCGGAGTATGAAACTCAGTGTAAAAGGACTATAGCAGTTATTTTTCAAGATTCAACAGACCCTTCCGTAATAGTTTGCACAAACTATTAAGGGATGACAGGAACAACAGAAACAAAAAAAGAACCCAGCTATTGAAGAAAGGAGGCGAAGAAGATAAGCAAAGAAAGCTCAGAATGTGAAAAGCTTTGGTGTGTGTTGAGAATGAAGGTATGAGGCTGTATTTCTAGGCATAGAGTGAGGTAAACATTGCACCAAATAAGGTGACCATTGAACCAGATTAGGGAGTTGAGAAAAAGACTCAAGGAGTTAGAGAAAAACCTAGTCAACTTGTAAATTGAGTTAGGTATCTATTGTAGGCTTTGGTCATATAAACATTGGAGCAAAACCAGGTAAGCTAGGTAGAGTTTGAGTATGATTCAATCAAGGCTAAAAACTTAAAAAAAATAATACCAATGTACAAAAGTTCATTGGGGGCACAGGCCACTTGTATATTCACGCGTAGGGGGAAAAATTTGAAATTTCTCAAGGTCTGGCTTAATCTTGTATGTGCGCGAGCCCACTTTATTTTTCTTGCTTGCAACAAGCTCACAGTGTGTTTTCATATATAAGGCATTCACCTTTCATGTATCTTGAAAATGTGAAATGTTTGAATCTTATTAAATACACTATTTTGCAACAGCTTTTATATGCACGTTTGGAGCACATAGGAAGATTCATAAAGCAAGCTTGTCAATTTGAAAGGGAAAAGAAAATTTATCCAAAAAGCTCGATCCAACTCCCAACAAAATCAACTATTTTTCTTTTTATATTCGTTAACATCAATTTGCACTTGATCCATCAAGCAAGGAAAGATACACATATGTAGACAGAGGGGTGTTGGTGTCCTTAGCACCATCTATGTTGGTCTGAGCAAGAATATCATTGATGTACTTGTGTTGGGATAGAATAGACCATGAGAATGAGGAATGATCTAGCTCTACACCTAAAATATAATTCAATGTTCCCAAGTCTTTGAGAGAGAACTTATTAACATAAACAAGCCTATAGCAATAACAACATTGTGATGAAGCACAAATAAGGATGTATTGGCAATCAAATTCAGAAAGCCATAGGACAACAAACAGGAACTGATGCAAAGTATTAGTCCTAGTTATTTGTTTTAAACCATCAATTGCCTTCTCCAACTTGTAAACATAATCTGGTCTTTTCTTTGTCAGCAAACATTGGAAAATGTTTCATGTAAACCTCCTCAGATAAATCCCCTTGTAAATGCATTATCAACATCTAGCTAGTGTAAAGGCCAAACAAAATAGAGAACTAGTCTAACAGTAATATTATAAAAACCAAGCACCGGACAAATTTAAGTTGAAATATTAGAAGAATATTTAGTTTCTTTGCTAACAAGCACCGGATAAAATGTTAGGCCCAAACCCAATCTAGGCTGAGCTTGCAAGAAAGGACACTTACCCGACTCTTGTACACATATAGTCAAAAAGATACATTTAATTTGCAACAAAGATAGTATATTTCACCTATTTTGGGTTAAAAAGTCAAGATCAGTCTTTCTTCAATAAAGAGTGATGTGGCATTTACCAAACAATTAGTGCTATCTTTCTATAAAAAAGAAAAAAAGCAACTCACTAGTGTCCATCTTATCTGCTGTGTTGCACACAATAAAGTTGGTCCACAACTCCACTAGAAATATACAAGATAATATATTTCAGCTTGGTCGCTCGACCCCCGTGACTTCGAGCCAAAAGCACTCGATGCTCGCGAGTCTCAGTTGTCGTTTGTTCAACGTATTCTTTGGAAAAGACAAGTGGAGAAATTATTATCGCACTTTCTGGAACCAAAAACCGTCTTACTAAAACGTCTTTACCTTCTTTCTTTTCTTGCTCACGAAGCTCACTTAGCAGATTGAGCTGGTAATAGAAATGAACATCATGAAACAGCCGAAAATTGGCCCAATCAGGGAGGTGAATGGTCTTGCGGTAGAGTTCATTGCTGGAAGAAAACTTCGGGTGTGAACACAAGCCTCAATATCTGCTCACTCTGCTCCCAGATTATTCACTTCTCTGATTTGGGCCATTTTAATTGTTTGTGCTGTTCCATGTGGTTCATTTCTTATGCCAGCCCTGCTCGAAACTTGTGTGCCTTCTCATGTTTGAATCAGAGTTGAAAGCAATGCAGAACCAGGATTCCAATTGATTCTTCGACTTTCTCGAGCTTCAAACAAGTAAGAGAAAATATTCTCTTGTCAAATTTCTCGTTTCTCTATATGGAATTTCAGATTTCCTAGTTCGTTTTGATGTTTTGTATGTTTGCACAAGTTTCTTCTTGCACACAATTTTGGATTTGAGCACAAGTCATCGCCGGAGGCCGGTGGAAATCCGAGCAACTACGGAAATCTTAACAATTTCTCATCATTTTAGACCTTTAAATATATATTTTTGTGACAAAAATAGTGACGGATTTGTGCTAATTAATTTAAAAAAATTCTTTATTCAATTAAAAATAAAATTAATCATCACAAGTTTGTTATTGAAAATTTGTTATTTTTAACTTACTTATATAATTAAACAAAAGATTAAATACTTTTATTTGGATAACATAAAAATATTATATTTTGGTTTTTTTATAATATATACTTGAGTTTTTATAAATATTTAAAATTAGTAATATATATATATATATAACAGTAAAAATAAACCTATAGAGAATCAGAATATTTTAATTATTTTTTAAATTTTATGATCTTTTTAAAAGATAGAAATATTTTAAATTTATTAATTTTGTAAATTTAAACATTAAAAACTAAGGTAAATTATCTTATAATTCAATTTTAATGCATTAATATTGAAAATAGATAATCTATCTTAAAATAATATCTGTGGTCGGACACATAATCGTACAGTTATTTTGTTATTTAAATTTTTGTCTATTTAATGATGTGATATGAATTTCATAACGGGTGTAGGAGGGGAAGAGATTTGTGATGAGAATCCGACGACCGAGATGGAAGGTGCCGTAGATGTGGAGAGGGTTATGTGAGGTCGATCGAGTCAAGTTGGAGCGAGTCATCATGGTAAAACTCGGGAGCCAACTAGGTCTGGAAATGCCACTCAACTCACCAGCTTCTCATTTAAAGTCTTTTCTTTTGCTTTGAATATTTGACTCAATAGGTCATTCGTATGTATTATTGCATTAAACTTGCCTAAAGATATTGTAAATTTGCAATACAACTCAACAAGATAATACTTTAAAGATGTTTTGAACTGCTTGGAAAATAGTGTACAAGAAAAGGAGAAAAAAAAAGCATCTCAAAATTCAAATACCAAAAAAAAAAATACAGGCAGGGATGGTTTAATCAGAAGTTTAAAGTTAAATATTTAAATAAGGTTTTTTTATTAAATTTAAAAAAAAGTTTTTTATTAAAATAAACAAAGAACAATAAATGAGAAAAGGAAGTTGATAAATGAATATTTTAAATTGAAAAAAAAGTATGTATATATAAAATTAGTTTTAAATTTATAATATCTTTAGTGGAGAATTGATAGTAGGGAATCGAAAAGTCATAAAAAATTAAAATTTATTAAATATATGATTAGGGAGTTAAGAAAATATATTATTTTATTAATTATTTTAATTTTTATATATTTTTAATGAAAAATTAAATAAATAATTGAAAATTAATAAAGATATAGAAGTGAGAGAAAATAAATATTTATTAGGTATATAAGAATAAGTAGATATTTTATTAATTATTTTAATTTTTATATATTTTAATATAACTAATTATGTTATTATTATAAATTATAACACCTGTGGGTATCGGAGACCTAAAACCTGCTTCGAAGTAAATCTTGGTTTGTCTCGATCCAAAACAAGAACGTGTTGAAGTGTAATGCTTCCAGTGTTTTTGTGCAATTAAACTTTGTAATTATGTTTTAATATAATTTTTATATTTTAATATAAAAATATTAATTAAACTTTGTAACCCTTTTTTTAATTTTTATATATATTTTAATATAACTAATTATGTTTTACACTTGTTAGATTAGTAAGGACAAGTGTTGTTTTGTGCAATTAAACTTTGTAACGCTCATTTATACTAGCATTGCTGTACTTCATATACATAATCCTTATTTTAAAAAAGGTTTCAATCTGTTATTTGGGTGTATCAGAGGCTAAGTATATAGACAGTTTTGATTTACCACAATTGGGTTTTAATATGCAATTAAAAAAAGGGTCATAATTTGTGATTTATTGAAATC